TTATACTAATATATATATATATATATATATATATATATATATATATATATATTGTAAATGGAGATTTTTTTTTTTAAACAAATAAGCTTGGCATTTAAAATGGATATTACATTATTTGTGATTACAGCTGTGGATGGAAAAGCACCACTTGCTACTGGAGAGGATGATGATGATGAAGTTCCAGGTAAGAACAAACATAAAATAGAAACTGATGAAAGGACCTGCTGTGCCATAAAATACAAACATAATGAAGAATTGAGGCCAAGAATTTAGTATGATTTAAAAAAAAAAATTGGTGTTTGACAATGAGACCATTACACACATGAAATAGACTTGGGGTGGGGGGCATGGTGGAGAAATGGTTAGGGGATTAGTCAGCCACTAACTGTTAAACTTCCCTATGGGCAAGTTATTCCATGGTGGACAACAACGAAATTTTTTTTGCACCTTCCTCTGAAGTATCTGGTACTGGCTGCTGTCAGGGTATGAGCCTAGATGGGCCTCTGGCTTAATCCAGTATTTTAGCTATTTTGTAGAAATAGCATCTGCAGTTTTTAATGTTGCTAGGCTAAAAATGATACATACTATCAATAGTGTGCATCAAGGAATTGGCCTAATACATATCATGAGGGTACAGAAGAAACCTCCCCTTCTCTTCTCTCTCCACTTCCTACCGCACAAGTGTGGTATAGCACACTTAACTGTGCTATCAGGCATTGGTGGTTGTTGAAGACAGGATTCATAAGATACCGGTGGTTCATCTACACCAGTGTCTTATGTGGCATTTATTTTTATGTAGAAATTGTTTATTTGTAAATGCTAAAGCTGTAACATCTCATAATTAAAATACTTAAAGTTGACTTTAAGATAAAATCTTGACTCACTAGATATATTTGGTAAGGTAAAAAAGGTACTGATGCTTTGGTTTCAACATGTACTTTTCTTTCTTTTTTTCTTTCTAGATCTTGTTGAAAATTTTGATGAAGCTTCAAAGAATGAGGCAAACTGAACTAAATGTCACTTTCTGAATAAAATTAAAACTTGAAAAAAGCTACATGAGCTGCTATTTTATATTGTGACTGCTTTTATTTGTAATTTTTTGTATTATGTTTACTTATCTGATGAGGTCTAAAATATGTAATATTTGGAAACTCCTTGAACATTGCAGCTCTTTTCTGTTTTATTGCTCGTACACAACATTAATTATCTTTGCAGCCTGGTTGAACTGAACAGACCTAAAAATTAGTATAAAATCAAATTGCTAACAATATTTGCCTATACAGTTAATTTTCTGAGTAACTTGTATACAAGCAAAAACCTGGCTCTAGTGAATTTTGGCATATAATAAAAGATGTAAAATTGAAAACTTGTTTAGTGTGGCTTTTATTAGAAAAGCAAATACTTTGTAATTGGGAAATAATCTGGCCTAAATGTTGAATAATCATATTCCTAGAAGATCTTGCGTCTCTGCAAAGCATCTCCCAATTGCCATGTTACAGAACAATGCTGCTTAAAGTGTTAGTTCTAGAATTGATTGTCATAAGTTTGAACTGCTCATGATTAAGCAGTGAAACCTCCTGATAGTTGTAGCCCAGTACACAATACCTGTTGGGTTTCAGGAACTTTTTTTCTTTTGACCCAATGGAGTTTGATCAAACTTTCTTCTACACTCTGGTATTGCTTTGGTGCTCAGATTGACAGATAAATCCATATTATTGGTCTGTAATAAAACTGAGGGTTGCAGATAACTTGAGGAAACTAGGTATTAATGTCAAGTCGTGTGTTCAGAAATTACAAATACATAGAGAAACCCAATCCAGTGGATTATAGCAAAATTATTATTTTCTCACTAAAATTGTCCCAATATCAATTTTCACTTAAAGCACTATAATTACGGTAGGGAAGCTAGGCTATACTATGGAGTTTGGGAAAGGGAAAGATTCAGCAGAGCTAATGGCTGTTCTGTGAAAAGTGAGTTTGTAAATTTTTTTTTTTTTTAACACAACAGATCTATTAACTGTCTGGTCACCTCTGCTTGCTTTAATGGCAAGTTTGTGTTTCTTTGAGCAGCATTTGTTGTAGTGGGCTAAGACTAAAATGGATTTATACTCATATATGAAAAGGGATATTTACTAAGTTAGTTTGACTTGTGCTAAACTTTTGAAGAGAGTGGAGTTGAAAGCCAGACTTTGGATTGGAGAGCCTATTTCTGGTGATGGATGAGAGAGCACTTTAGTTTGTCTTTGAGGTTGAGAATGTAGTCCCGGCAGCTAAATACTTTTTTTCCTTTTGTGGATTTCTACAGTGCAATTATTTCTTCTAAAATAAGCTACATGTACAATGTCATGTTTAGAGTAACTTTGAGTAAAATCACACTTCAGCAGTGATCCCAAATATGACACTTTGAAAACTGGTAGCAAACCAGTCTTGTTTCCTCATAACCAAGAAAGGATGGGACTCCGTGTAACTTGCCAAGCCATGTAAGTCATGCCATGACTTTATTGTGCAACTTGTAACAAGTTTCTCCACTATTTCTTAACTGCCACAGTTTGAGTCAGGGTAGAAGTTGTGTGTCTGGTGTAAGAATTCAAACAGTAATCGTTGCAGTTTAGTTTCCTACTTTATGTAGGAGGAATTCTGTTTCACAATGCACACTTACTATATAGCATTAAACTGGAATATCAGTACTGTCACACTTCCATGCTTCAATTAATCTAGTTTCTATCAATAGTAAAATATGGGGTTTTTGAGTAATAATGGACTGCTGTAATGTCTCAAAGCACTTATCAGAAGAGCAGTGGCATAAAGATGGTTGATGGAATGTGTTGCACAAAATCAAGATTTGATATAGGATGCTGGTGAAGAACTGTCCCTCAACAGAGACTTCCAAGAGGTGGTACAAATGGAGAACCATTCACAAGATGTTACTTGAATATCTCAGAATAGCAGCATTTCTGCCCACCTATGGAACTAGGCAGAAACTTTCTTGTAAAAGTTTCCATTTTGTAAATTTACTGGGCAGATCTAATACTCTTAATGGAGTCTACTGGAGTTCAGGGCACGCAGCACTTAGGAATACTTGCATTTCCTAAGAGTCCTCTAAATTAGTCAGACTATCCAAATATCTATCAAACCATGATTATAGTAGATTCTAAGAAGGTAGGAAGGGGCATACTTTTGTTGTGGTTCACGGTAATATAATTGACTAGCAGATTCTTATTTTTTTCTGTATGTACTCAGCCTGATTCCATGTTCTGTTGTCTCTACCTCCTTTAAGTTAAGATTAATTGCCCTAAACCTTTAGAGGTTGTCACTAAATATTTCCAGTTTCTGGAAGTTGAGCTAATTTTTTTTATTAACATGTACTTTCATCACTCCAGTCCGTGCCATGTTGAATGCAACCATTACAACACTAGGTATAGTCACAGTCAGCAAAGAAACTTCATACCTATATTCTGAACAGCTTTGACAATGCAGAACTGCAAACATGTTTGCATTTGCATTTAAAACAAAGGCATATGCAGATCATTAAAACTTTGACCTAGCTTCCCTGTAAATGTCAAATTAAACCTTATAACACCTGGATTCTAGTATAGTAAAGTGCTGAAAGGGCATTCTTTACCAGTGGTGTTTTTTTTAAGTGTCACAGTTTGAGCTTTAACCTAGTTTAAAATAAACTTGCTACCTATCCCAAGCTGTAGCTGTCCCGCTGTCAATTAAAAAATAAAGTCCATAATAAAAACCAAAGTAGCTGCAGAGCCCTTCCACTGGACAACAGCAAGTCAGCAAAACTACCAAACTTTCCCTTTCACAGCTGCTTGAAAGAACCTTCTCAATCCTCCTGACGCACAGACCTCACTCAGCATGTCCCTAAATAGATATTCCTTAGAATATGCTCCAAAGAGTAACTTTTGGATCAAAATATTTCAGGCTATTGTGGAACAGGGGGCATAAACTCCAAAGTTGAGAAGGCTCTCACAGAGATTCCCTTGCCAATAGTTTAAATGGGAGTTTTAGCTTCAGTGACTCTGCTAATGGCATTAGGATTGATCACTTGAATGTGAGTGCCAACATTTTCAAGCTTGTGCCTAACATTAGATACCCCAAAATCAATTCTTAAAAACCTAAACAAATGTTTCAGTGGAGGTTGTAGGTACTCTATACCTTTGGTAAACAAAACTATATTTACTTGCCTAAATACAGGTTGTGTATAGAAAATCCTATAGATTCATGCTTCAGCTGGAATAGCTTCCTGTATCTCCATAGCACTGGCTATTTAATTTAATCTAACATCTTTTCACCTTTGTCTATTACTTAATTTCTCCATTTTAAATGTTTAGATCATTTTGGGGATATAATTTATTTTTAGTGGCTAAGCTGTTGATCCTTTTCAGAAGAGTGGAGGTTGCAAAACATGGACATTTAAGAAATTGGCTTATCAAAGAGTACAAGTGGATTTGTATTTTATACTTGAGATAACTAAAATTTAGGGCACCTAGGAAACACAAGGCACCTTTGAATTTGGGTGCTATCATTCTGCCAAGGGGCTTTGATGACAAACCGTGAGAACTGGACTCAAGGCACTAAGACTTTGAGATTAAAAATGTCTAGCCCCGTAATTTAAAAATTGCCGATGGAGCCAAGTAACGGATCCATGTCTAGATACCCTCTTGCCCTTCTGTCTCAACCTCTCCTGCTACTATTCCTTGGTCCTCTCTGACTTTCTGTTGATGCTGCTATCTCCCTTCAGCCAGCCACTAATGGCTCCTATCTGCTGCCTTCTCTTCTTTGAGCAGTCCCAAAATGTTTACTCCTGCCCTGGCAGTTTTTTCTCTATCCCTGGACCAGATATAACCTTCCACTGTGGCTCTCTCCATCACTGGAGTGACTCCCCTTCCTCTCAAATAGGGACTTCCTGATTGGCTGAGCCACCTCTCCACACCTTCACTGCCAAAGCTGCTATTTCCAATTGCTGTTGTGGTTCTGAGTGAGGTAAACTGCTGGCTGAATGACTATTTTTAACTCTGCAATCCCTGTGGTAAGAGTCCATGTTATACAAGAATTTATGGAAAACAAGCCTCAGAAGTTTGCTTCTCTGAGATCTTACCTGGACAGTCTCTGCAGCCCTTTCTTGCATCTCAAACTGTTTGGAAAGCCAGGCCTTCTTGTTAGGGCACTTAAATATCAAGTGTTATGGAAGCCTACTATGTAGATTACCTGTTCAGATGAGAATTAAAATATAACTTCTTACTATAGATACACTCTTATACAATGACTTTCATCTTCAAAGGGCTTTAGGAATTACTTCATTCTCTCAGTTCCCCTTGCAAGGTAGGAATATTACCTCCTTTTTACAGATGGGGAAACTGCAGCACAGAGAGGCTGTGACATGCCCAAGGTCAGAGAAGTAGTTAGTAGCAGAGCCAGGGGGTGCGTATACAAGAGTTCCTAGATCCCAGCCCTGTGCTGAGACCACTGCAGCATGCCTTTCTACCTTCCTGCATGTTGGATCTGATTCAAAGTCCATTGAAGTCAGAGGAGTTTTTCTACAGATTTCAAATGGCTTTGGATCAGGCTTATTGCTGTGACACCTCAAATTTCAGCTGTTCAACTTGAGACGATCCAAACACTTTCATGCATAGGTAGAGCTCTTTTATTGGACGTTAAGGTGGAGATCTTACAAGAAAGCACTTTCTCCCAAGATTGCTAGTCCTACCTGGTTTCATCAGGACTAGAAATACTCTCAAAAAGCTAGTCAAAGTATTTCTGCTTGTGATTTCTGACAAAACAAAGATGTGCAGAAATGCACAGGGTTTTTTTTAAGTGAAATATTGGAAGATAATGTAGTGGTATTGTATGGGGAACTCCTTCCATGCATAAAGAGAGAGGATATGGGAAAAAGTAAGGTGGTTGTTGAAAAACTTGACAAATGGGCAATCAATGCTGGCAGTGGTGATAGAGCAAAGGTGGGGTTGCCTTAATAAAGTATAGGTTCAATAGGCTAAGCCCACAAGGGAGTCCTAGTCAGCCCCTCTTCAAGAACTTCAGGTGGAAAATTCCTCTCTCCCCCCAACCAGACTCACTAGAAATTGAGTTTTATCATGAGGTCTCTTTCTTTGCAAGGAAAACAACTAGCTTTGTTCCTTTTTAAAATTAAAAAGTTAGGTCTCCAGCACTTCTTTACATCCTACCCTAAGCTTCCAAGAACTGATGTTCCACAACAATATTACTAATTTAAAAGTGAAAACCTTTTTTAATTAAACTTTAATCAATGACATTTTGGCTATGGGCACTAGATCACTGGGGGAGTTCAGTAAACTAAGACTTATTTCTCTCCTGCTTTCTGGGGGGGCATTTTTGTTTGGGGATTTGTGTGTGTGTGTGTGTGTGTGTGTGTCAAAATGGCATAAAATGTTACAAGACTTCTTTAACTTTGAGCCATCCCTATATTTAGGGTGTTATGAAGAACAAACACCCTATCCAATTTTCTTAATACAATTCAGTCTCTACCTTAGGTCTAATCATCCAATTTTGAGGCTATTATGTTACTTTGTGGATTTTTGATAGGGGCTCACAACAAGGCTTAGAATGACAACTCAGTTGCAACTGTAGCTATCCAGCAATTACTTTTGCTTCATAAAACAGATGTACCTGTCCTCAGTTGTGTTTTTTTTTCTCTCTAATTGTTCTGAGTCATAAGTGAATCCTGTGTGTTATTTTATAGTAATGAGATACCTAACAGTACAAATCTTACCAAGTCTGTATACAAAGGAATTACTAATTCCCTCTTCTCTCTCACAATACTTCTCTAGATATGTTTCAGTATACTATTAGCCTCTTTTTCCAATAGCTTCACATGTAAGATACAGATTGTTACAGTTCACAGACCAACTGCTTACTTGATGGTTGCCCTGGTAGTCCAAAATTAATTCCTAGGCTGCTAGCAGCAACTGTTCTACTGTGTGGCAAGGGCACCCCTTCTGCCTCATCAGGCTTAGCGCTCCCTCCTCTGGTGGAGACAGGGCCTGGGGTCAATCAGCCCCCACTCTGGAGTGTGTCTGTTTTCCCTCTTCAGTGCCTTCCCTGTAGGTCTCTGGGCAGGCCTGAGGAGTGCTCCTCTGCCAAACAAAGGGGAACAAGTCTATAAAGCACCAAAACAAAAAGGAAATATTTTTCCCTGGCCCCCTCACTGGGACAGGTGTTGTCCTGTCACTGGCCCCAGGGTGTCAGTCCTTCCCCTAAACAGGCACTGGGTTTTGGGTGTCTCCCCTATGGGGAGGAGTGCAGTCTCTCACACTGGAGAAACCTATCTCCCTGCTGCCACCAGCCTTGCAGCAATTCATCTTCCCCCCACCAGGAGAGAGATTTTAACAGGTTTCAGGCAGCCCCTAATTGGACTCAGGTGTCCCTAATTGACCTGAAGTAACCCCTTCTCAGCTTGTAGGAAAAAGGGCCTTTAGCATTCTAGGGCTAACATAGCTGTTTTCCCAGACACTCCTGCAGCCATCCAGCCTGACTTTGTCACAACAGGTAATAAGGACCTATCTCCTAGAAGGTAGCATGAAAAGTAGAAAAGGATAGGATTTCTAGTTAAATTGCTTCTTATGATGTAGATGTTTTCACACAGTAAAAGCATAGTGGATTTAAAAAATAGGATTTACAGTTACATGTTCAGTGAGCAAAGAAACAACATAAGTTAGATTGGAAATGTTTTCTAGTGGGGGGAGGGAGTTTGTAATGAAGGAGGTTGCAGGTCAATAATAAAACTCTCTCTTGGGTAGCTGGGCTACTGTATTTTATTGTGGTGTGTTTAGGCATCATTAGTAAATGTGGCTGTTGTCCATGCATAGTTTAAACAAAACTAACAAAAAAATTCGCTGCATGTCGCAACTGCCCACCAGCATTTGGTGATTTGTGAATTTGTGTTTGTCATTTAAAACCAAATACTCCTATTATTATGGACCTGGTCTGGAACTCTACTAGGATAAACTCCCACCAAAGCTAGAGGGAGTTTTGCCTGAGTAAGGACTGTGGATTCTAGGCTCCTTTTCCATTTATTGTGAGGAGAGGAGGAAATTAAAGTAAAAAGGGAAGGAAAAGCTACCAACATTTTAAAATCACAGGATACCCCAAATCCTCAGTTGGGACAGCTGTCCCAACTGAGGATTTGGGGTATCCTGTGATT